GTGAGTTCCTGGGTGAAACATGCCACCACGGCACCCGGTGTGCAGCGATGCTTGGTGACAGCAGTGCCGGGAGGCGAGGACCCTCGGGGTCCACTTGAGCACCTTCCTGACTGCGGTCGCCTCCTGGTTCTCTAGGACATCGTTGGAGCATTTGTGTAGGACGCACAGGCAGGATGTTCATTGCCTTTATCTTGTCCTAGGATGGCTGTTTGGTTTTAGATAATCAGCAGCTTCAGGAGGTTTCTGAGATGCCTTAGCGGAGCTGAGAGTGCTTTTATGAACAGCGTGTCATGAGATGCCGTGACGGTACAGCGAGCCCTGCGCTGTGAACCCCAGGCGTCCGCTCCTTAGTCCTCACCAGAATCTCGCGGCGGGGGTATTTTTATTACCCATTTACTGCGGTGAGAAAACAAGGCCCAGCAGGGTTACGGTGTGGCCCAGGGCTTGCAGTGGGGACAGGGCAGTGCCCGTCCGCCCCATGTGGGGAGTGCCTAATGCGGCCAGGCCACCTCTGTCGATTAGAAAGTATTTCCCCCAGGCAAGGCATCATGGGTGTGGGCCAGAGGGCCCCGCCCGTTCTGCAGAGGTGGCGCTGGGCGTGTGTCCCTGCTCAGCACGTGTCTGGAGGTTCCCAGTGGCCCCTTCCGTTTCCTGTGCTGGGGGCTCCCAGGTCTCCGTCCCCAGCCCTCCTGACCCAGCTTCACTTTTTTTAATTGAGGTGAATTCACATAGATAAAATTGACCATCTTAAAGTGGACGGACGGTTCAGTGGTATTCAGAGCATGCACAGTGTTTGACAGCCACCACTTCTGTCTAGTTCCGAAACACTTCATCCCCCAGAAGAACACCCCGTGCCTGTGGGCGTTCAGTCCCCATTGCCCCAGCCCCGGGCACCCACCGAGCAGGTGTCTGTCTCTTTGGCCATACCTATTCTGGACGTCTCATATAAATGAAACCGTAGCACGTGGCCTTTTGTGTCTGGGTTCTTTCACTCGGCATGGCGTTTTCAAAGCTCACCCACACTGTAGCGTATGTCAGAATTTCGTTCCTTCCTAAGGCTGAGCAATGTTCGTTGTGCGGATAGACCACAACTCGTTTATCCATCTGTCTTGATGGGCAGTCGTCGTTTTCGCCGATTGGCTGTCGTGAACAGAGCTGCGGTGAACGTGGGGGACAAGCGTCTGTGTGAGTCGTGTTTTCAACTCTCGGGTATAGACCTAGGACTGGAATTGCCAGGTCTTATGGTAATCTGTCTTTAATTTTTTGACCCAGCTTCACTTTGACCTTCCACGGACCCGTCACCTCTCTCCGCCCCTCCTCCCCCTTGGCCCCGGCATCCATAGCCCCCAGAACTCTGGTATTTATTGAGCACCTAGTGCGAGCCCTGTCTTGGCTGACTTGGAGGTGACACAACACAGTCCCTGCTGCAGAGTCCAGCTGCAGCCCCTCCTCCCAGCCAGGCCTGTGCTGTGCCCACCATGGCAACAACCTGGGAGGGAGGCCTTGTTGGTCCCGTTTTACAGATGAGCAAACTGAGACACAGGCTGAGTGCTTTTCCCTGAGTTCACAGAGCTAGGAGGTCACTGCAGGATTTGAACCCAAATCTCCCTAACTCCAGAATCCTTCCCAGTGCAACTTCTTCCACTTTCTCTCGGGCCCTGGCCGGGGGCTGAGCCCGAGCACGTGAAGACGTGTGTGCCTGTCCCCGGCCAGCGGTGACTAGAGCAGGAAATGAGTGGGGTTGGGGGAGTCCAGGGCTGGGTGGGAGAACCATGGGCTGGAACAGCCCCGTCAGCCCTTTGGAAGCTTTGCTGAAAGCTGAATTTGGACCCCAGCGGTCAGGCGGGAGCAACAGAGCAGCCTCTTGGGGGAGGCCCGTGTTGTGTGGGATGTGAGTTAGTTTGGAGACACCGTAGTTAGCCACTTTTTGGGGAGGAAGATGGCGTGTCTGGCCCAGAGCCCTTGACCTCACGCCCCGAGGCCCTCTGCGATGCTGGGCAAGTGAGGTGCTGATCAGAACACCCCCCCGTGCCCTGACCCTGCACCCCAGCCTCTCCCAGTTGTCTCCTGCAGCTTCTGCCTCCCACCTTTGTCTCCGCCGGGCTCTCCCCGGGCCTCTCCCTTCTCCCACCCTGCCTGAGAGCCCAGATCCTCCTGCCGGCAAGGCCCGGCCCCAGTGCTGTCCGCCCGGGTCCACACAGACTCTCCACGTCCTTCCTCCCGCCGAAAGGGTTGGGTTTTGGAGGCTGAAAAAGAGGAGTCTAAACCCAGCCCTGTGCTTTTGAGCCGTGTGACCCTGGACCAGCCCCTGACCTCTCTGAGCTTCAGTCTCCTGTGTGTGAGGCGCTGACACTGACACTAGCCTTCCAGGCTGTGGCGGGCCCTGGGGAGGTAGAGCACGTCACACGCCTAGTGCCTTGGCCGGAGCTTCCTGTGGTGGGTCTGTCCTGCCTCCTGGCCTGAAGGATGCCAGGGCCTCGTGGCACTTCTCGTGGGGGGGGTCTCTGTGTGCGGCGTGGCATCGTGCCTCCTCCGCCCACAGCCTGACTTCCCTGTCTGTGTGGGCAGCTGGACAAGATCGAGGGCGTGTTCGAGCGGCCGAGCGACGAGGTCATCCGGGAGCTCTCCCGGGCCCTGCGGCAGGCGCTGGGCGTGTCACTCTTCGGGATCGACATCATCATCAACAACCAGACGGGGCAGCACGCTGTCATCGACATCAACGCCTTTCCAGGTGAGCAGCAGGGCTGGGTTCGTGGCCAGCTGTGTGTAGACTGCCCCAGGTGACAGGGCAGCCGGACCTGAAAGCCAGCTCCATCCCTCCCTGGGGTGTGGGGCAAGGGCAGCCCTGCCGCGCCCCACCCGCACGTGTGAGATGGGGTCGCGGGGTGTGGCAGGGAGTGAAGGAGATCGTGCATCCAGCCCAGCGAGCTCGCGGGGCCCGAGAGGGCCCGCAGTACACACGTTCTTCCGCCTCTTCTCTCGCCCCCGCGCCACAGCATCAGCCTTTACTGGCCAAACCCTCCATCCCTTTGGCCTTTTTAGGTTTAAGGAACTAGAAGGACCTTGAAGGGAATACAACGCTCCTCCCAAGTTGACATGTAGGGAAACTGAGGCCCCTAGAGAGGAAGAAACTGTCCGAGGCCCCACAGTGCATTGGTGGCAGGGCCAGAGGCTCCCAGGCCCAGCCTCCTTCCACTGCCCTGAGCTGTCGTGCTGGGGACAGGCCTTGGGAGGGGTCCCCATGCTGTGGCACCCGATTCCTGCTCCCTGCTGGGGCCGCAGGAACCTGCTGGCACAGAGCCAGGCTTCGTGTGGCCCTCAGATCCCAGCAGCAGGAGGCGGCACCAATGAGCCCTTGACACAGGTCTGTCGGGGACGACAGTGGTGACTTCTGCAGCCGCTGCTCACCAGGCTGCGTGCTTCACCCGGAGACGCGGGGTCTCGGTTGCGCACCCACCTCCCACAGCAGCTTGGAGGCAGGGCCAGCCCTGAACCACGCCCAGAGCAGCGCTCCAGCGCTCACTCCACGGCCGTCTCTGCCCCGAGATGCATTTTCCTCCATTTTGTCTTGAATCCAGCCTTTAGTAAGTACCAGAGACTGCGCCTGGCAGTGGGGACTGCTTGGGGGCATTTGCTGCAGGGAATGGGGCATGACCTCCTCTTGCTGTGCAGCTCCCAGGCCCCACGCACAGGCTGGGTGCGTGACACACGTGTCCCCTCCGCTCCTGGGTGCTCAAGCCCGTCCAGTCATCATGACTCACAGCCGACGGCGAGGAGCCCACTGGCTCCTTCCGCGTTCATTCAAGGGCTGAGCGTGAGCTCGGCTGCCCGGGCCCTGCCCTTGGAGAGCTCCTGCCCTAGCTGGGAGGAGCCAGAGGACAAAGTGGGTCACCAGGGGCTCCTGTGAGCTGAGCCCAGCAGGAAGGGGAGGGGCCCTTGCTGGGGATGGAGTGGCGGCTCCCGGGCCGAGGAGCTCTGTGGCCATGGTGGTGGGTGCGGCTGGGGGGCAGGAGGATGGTGGCGCAGAGGGACCTCGTATGGCCAGCTGAGGACGTTGGGTCCCACCCTGGGCGAGGCGGGCGAGGTCTGCGTTCATGGACAGGCCACACCTGTGGGGCAGTCGTCTGTTTTTCTCCAGTCCCCCAGGTGCAGTGTGGAGGGAGCCGTGGGTTCAGCCGGAGGTGGGGCTCCACGCGTGGTGTGGGAGTGGGGGCCAAGGGGACTGAGGAGCATTGGGAACCATCAGAATAACGAACCTTGGGCCTAAACCACATTGGGGGGGGGCGGGTGGCCCAATGAAAAGGTGGCAGTGTCAGCAGGCTGGAGGGTCAGGGAGGCATAGGGGGTGGGGGCTGTTGGGGAAATTCTAGAAGGAGGGAGGAGACGGGAGGGAGGAAGCTTAGCACCTGAGCAAGGCTGTCCCCTCCCGACACAAACACCTCTGTGGGGCAGGGCCCCAGGGTGATCTGGGGTGCAGAGGAGGATGGGGAGGCTTCTTCAGGGAAGCCAAGAGAAGGGCCGCCAGGCATCGAGGTGGGCTGAGGCTGAGCCAGGGGTGCTGGCGAGGGCCTGATGCTGAGGGGAGGTCGGGGGAGTGTGTGTGGGCCCCGGCCCCGTGCAGGGAGGAGACGCATCTGGGAGGCAGCTTAGTTTGCCAGCCTTGGTTAGAGCACTCTCGGGGCCAGGTAGAAGGGGGGGCCTGGTCCTCCTGCTCCCCATAGGAGGCCGCCTCGGGGCCACAGGTGTGCAGCAGCACCTGCCCTCTGGGAAGAGCAGCAGCAGCAGGAGTACAAGTGCTGGGGACACCTCTGCAAGCCAGGCCTGGCCCGAGGACTGCGCTGCCCGCTGGTATTGTCCTCACAGCAACGCTGTGGAAAGGGCTGCCGGGACCTCTGTTCACCGGTGAGGATGTGAGGCAGGGAGTCCAGTGACTTGTCCGGGGTCACGTGGAGCAGAATGGGGCTCAGACCATCAGCCCGAGCCTGCGCTCTTGGCCGCGACGTTTCCCACCTCTCAGAGCACCAGCCGTGGGCTCGAATCCTGACTCTGCCTTTACAGTCCGCGATGGGACGAGCCACCTCACTTTGTAGCCTCAGTGTTCACTTCTGCATAGTGGGAACAAATCCCCACCCTGTAGGCAGAGGAGATGGTGTTTGCACAGTCCTGGTGTGGAGTGGGCGCCCTGCCCTGCTAGTTCACGCCTCAGTCTGCTGCCCCAGGCCGACAGACACCCGCCTTCCCCTGGCCTCCGAGTGGTGGCTGCCTCCACACGCCCGCAGAAAGCACACTCTCCGCTGGGGCCTCGGGCCTTGTCTGGGGACGTTGGCAGGGTGGTTGCTTAGGAATGGCTTCCTCTTCCCTGGTGCTGACGGCGGTGGAGCTGAGCACCTCCCTTTACACGTCCCCAGGCACCCGATGGCTGCGCCCACGGGGCCCGGGTCTCGGTCCTGGTTCTGCCCTGCCTTTCACCCCAGCCCCAGGGCTGACGTCCTACAAAGGGGCAGCTGGCTCTAGGTGGTATTCGAGGCACAGACAGGCCCACAGGGCCTGGTTCAGATCCTGGCACTGCCACTTGGGAGCTTTGTGACACTCAGCAGCCATGTCTTCTGTGAAATGGGGACGGAGCCGTGAAGACTGAGCAAGGGGCCGTGGTGTGATCACGTGGAGGCGCCACGTGCCATCCCTTGTAGCCATCTTTATTTTCACTGTGGACACCCCTGTGTCCCCCCCTCGGCCTTGGGCTCCCTGAAAGCACAGCAGTTTGCTGAGTGGTTAAGGACGTGAACGAATCTGCCAGCCTCGCCCTGGGCACGCCCTGCAGGGCCTCTCTGTAGGCGGCGGCACAGGTGCCATGGTTGCGCCTTCGTTCCCACCCCCGCTTCCTCTGACGGCTGTGAACATCATCGCATGGCAGGTGCTGGGTTTCGGTGACTCCGACCCTCCACGTTGGCTCAGGCAGATGGGGGGCGCTCACCCTGTGTCGAGTCTCTTTTGGAGCAGTTTTCTGGGCGTCAGCAAATTCTCTCCCTGGATCCTGACCACCTGCCGGCGAGCTCCCAGGGACTCTGCTGCCACTCACGTCTGCTGGGAAACATTTGCCCCTGGCAGGCCCCCTGGTCTGCACCCCAGTCAGGGGCCCTTTGTCCCAGGCAGCAGTGGGGCCTTGTCGCAGGCCTTGGCCCTGTGGGTGGTGCCCAGCGCCTCTGCCCATGGCTTTGACCCTCAGCGTGGGGCACAGGGGGCCTCCCTGCAGGTACTGGGGGCGAGACAGGGGGAAGCAGCTGCCGGTGGAGCAGGCACCGCCCACGTCCCAGCCCTCCCGGTGGTGCCCTCCACAGCCTCTGCCCGAGTGGTGGTGTCTTCCTCGGTTTGCAGACCAAGCGCAGAGGCTCAGGATGGATGCCGTCTCCAGGACTTGGCTGGGGCCAGGCTTGGCTGGGTCACGTGGAGTCGAGGGGTGTTTATTATTCAGAGCACGTGGAGCGGGCTTGGCACTGCTACCCTCAGCCGTGCCAGCGTCCCCCACCCACGTACTGGCTCTTACCTCGGTGGGTGGGACGGTGGGGCCGTGTCTGAGAGGGTCGAGGTCACAGGGTGTTCTGTCATCAGCTTAAGTCCTACAGCGTCTCACACGTTGGGAGCAGCCAAAGGTCAGGGGCCAGCTCTTGGGGCCACCTGTGTGTAGTTGTGAGTCCAGCCTGTGACGTCCCACAGACCACCTTGTCCACCGAGCCCTCGTGTGCTGTGTGAATGGCATCCCGAGAGTGAGCGCTCCCGGGAGCCCACTGGTCCCACTTCCTCCTGCCCACGATGGCCCGTAACACCCCGTGACGCCCTGTGCTGTCTGTCTCTCCCACCCAGGCTACGAGGGCGTGAGCGAGTTCTTCACAGACCTCCTGAACCACATCGCAACCATCCTGCAGGGCCAGAGCGCAGCCACGGCAGCCGCGGGGGACGTGGCCCCACCGAGGCATAGCAAGGCCCTGGCCGAGCCGGCGGGCAGCCTGGCCGGCGAGCGGACGTGCAGCGCCAGCCCTGGCTGCTGCGGCAGCGTGACGGGCGAGGAGGCGCCTTGGAAGGCCGAGGCCGACGTGGGTGGCACCGCCAAGCTGCCGCACCAGAGACTTGGCTGCACTGCGGGCATGTCGCCCAGCTTCCAGCAGCACTGCGTGGCCTCCCTGGCCACCAAGGCCTCCTCCCAGTAGCCGCAGAGCCAGGACCCAGAGGGGCGGCGCGGGGCGCGGAGCACACCCGCTGGGCAAGCAGCTACTACTAAGAATTCCCAATGATCTGATTCTTTTCTTAATTTTTAACCTGATTTTCTGATGTCATGATCTAAACGAGGGGTGGGGGAAGATGGAGAAGAACACCAAGCGGTCTAGCCTGGCGGAAAAGGGCATCCCGCCTGATTCCTGCTGCGCGGATCTCCTCACTGAGTTTGCACACTCGTGTTCTCAACACTAGGTCTGAGTGTGTGGGGTGTCCTGTGTGCGTGTGGTTGCCATGCAGGTGTGTGTGCACACCCATGTCTGTTGGTGTCCGTGGCTGCTGGGGACCAGGCCTCTGGGGACCCTGGAGGGGGCCGGGCCAGGCTGTTGTGGCTGAGGAGCGTGCGAGCGAGCGGTGCCCCCAGGACTCCCGCACCCAGACCACCCTTTCCTTGTGTCCCTCCAGCTGGTCTCCTCCCCTGTGAGCCCCACCCCGCCAGGTGTGCAGCTCGCCCTCCTTCCCGAGAGTACGCAGAGGCGCCGGGCCCCTGGGGGAGCTGGGCTGGGCTGTGCTGCACCTGCTGCGACAGGGAACGGAGCTTCCCGGGGCTGAGGCCAAGGCCCTGCTGTTGCCGCTCTTCACGCCCCAGCGCTCCCTGCACGGGGCCTCCTGCCCCCAGCCCTGCGCGTCCTCACCCCTGAACCCAGAAAGGAGGCTGCCTGCGTGGGGCCTGGGCCGATTCTAAGGCTGTGCCAAGGATTTGTGCTGTGATTTGGGGCAAATCATTCCGAAAGTCTTCGGGCCTTCGTCTCCTGGTCTCTAGTGGGCATTTGGGCCCCGGGAACCCTGAAGTGCTGTGACTCCTGGGCTGCGCCCTGCTTCTCCATGAGGTCACCCGGTGAGGACAGGCGCGGGAGCCTCTGCTCGGCGCTGGAGGGATTGGGGGCCTCTTTCCTGGCAGGGGAGGCTACCTGTACGGTTCACTCCTGTTCACACTGGCCGGTCCCCCCTACCCAGCAGGCCCCGAGCACTGAGCCAGCCAGGTGCCAGGGGCTGCCCCTCCTACACCGTGGGCTCTCCCGTCACCATGGCAGCCAAGCCCCGGCTCTCCCGTCTGACTCCAAGCTCTGGGCAGACCAGCATCCCCCTCCGCGGAGAGCAGGAGTTGGGGGATGCTGGGGACGCTGGGTGCGGTGCACGGGGCCCCTGAGCATGATTTTGAGTCTTAAGATACAGTTCACTTTGGAAAAGAAAGAAGCTTCTGGGCTGTCCTCTGTCGTCCAGTGAGCCAGGACACTGGGGGGAGAGCTGTGTCCCAAGAGAGGCTGCGGCGCGGGGCTCGGAGGCGGCTCCAGCCTGGCTGAGCGAGGCGTGGGACGCCCCTTTGAGAAAGGAGGGCTGGGTCCGGGTGCGGGCAGGGCCGTCAGAACTGCCCAGCTCTTTTGGAAACCAGGGGCTAGGCGACTAACCACGTTTACACGACTTGAGTGTTGAGCCCCGATGGGTGTCTGTGCGCCGCCTTCCCTAGTTCCGGGCCTGACCTGGGGAGTGGGAGGGCGCGACCGGCCCCTCGCACTGCTTTGTCTCCAAATAAACTACTGAATCAAACTGCATTTCACACGTGTTTACAGAGTGTCGCTCGAGTTTGTTATGTCTTTCTCCCAGTCCTTAAAAGATGTTTAATAAAACAGCTTTACCTTTTAAAAATAAAATGCCGATCCCGAATTGCCTCAAACAGCTGGGCTGTGCGGTGTGACTCCTGGCCGTGTCGTGTTCCGTCCAGCGTGTGGCCTCGCCAGGGCCCGGCTGACAACCACTGACTGCCTTCTGTTGACGTGCAGGGACTTCACATTTTCCAGGAGCAGGAATTGTGGGGTTGAATTTGCCTCCTGAAGGCCTGGGAGCCACGAGGCTATGGGGGAGCAGCCCGCACCCAGGGCCTGTCCAGGCTGTGGACACTGCGCCAAGCGACGGCAGCATCGAGCAGAGGAGGGGCTGTGAGTGGTGGTGAGGCCCCAGCCGCCCCTCAGAGCGGGCTCGGCGGCCACGGCGAGAACCCTGTTCTCTGCATGCCTTGGGTGCGTACTAACTTTTTTGGTCCCAGGACGCTGTCCATGGAGCTGGTTCACCCTTAGGCCTCATTGTCCTGGCTGTAAGCTGGGCCCTGGCAGCCGCCGCTTTCTTAGGGCATGCGGTGCTGCCTCCTGAGTGGGAACAACCTGCTAAGCCAACGATGTTGCATGGTGGCACTCGAGTTGGCCCTGCCAGTGTCGTGGTGGAGTTGGGACTCTCACTCAAAAGCCTCTGTTTCCGAGTTGGGCAGCACGCTGGCTCTGGCCCTGCAGCTCTGTCATGGTGGTCAGTAGGCAGGGGGCTGAAGGGCCCCAGGGACAAGGGGCAGGGTGACACTTTGGCTGAGGCTTTGGGTGGCTTCAGAGGGGCACCCGCGTGGTCTGCACCGTGGAGCCATAGCCTGGGGTCGGGTTCTGCCTTAGGATGCTTTGATGGTATAATGGTGCGATTCTGCACACATGACACCCCACCAAGCCAGCTGCTGCGTGTGTGTCCTGGGGCAGGGGCTTGGTGTCCCAGGAGTGTCTAGGTTTGCTGTGCGTGGTGTGTAGGGCTGGGCCTGCGGTCACCCAGCTGAAGCCCAAGGGGGTCTTTGGGGCTTCCTGTGCATGGGGTGGCCTGTATGTTACTCCTGCCAATGAAAGAGAACACAGCCTTGAAAAGGTGTCCCCTCCACCAGGGGCCTGCCGAGCGCGCTGCATGGAAGGGGGAAGACCCTAGGAGGGAGCTGTCTGTTTTTTGAGCCAATTCAGAAAAGCAGCTCGTGTCTGCCCGACAGCCCCTCTGAGGCCAAGGGAGATGGCGGATCCTTTGTCCTTCCAGCCTGGAAGACCAGTTCTTGGCTCTTGGTCACTCAGATGGATGTCACTCACTAGCCACAGAGAGTCATTGAGTGGTTTCACTGATGTCCCTGGGGTTTGTGTCTGCCCTCTCTCCTGTTCGCTGGGAACCGATCATTCGCCCCAGCAGCGCCTCTGCTTCCTGTGCCGCGGCTCCCAGGCCCCTGTCCACGCCGGAGCCCGTGAGCTGGGAGCTGGCAGTCCTGAAGGACAGGTGACCATGCAGCAATCCTGGACAAACGCCCTCTGCTGTGCCCTGATGCCACCTGCCCTGCCCAGGCCTGAGCCTTCTCCCATGGGTCCTGCCCATGTGACAATGGGTCTGTGGCTTTTTCCCTTCTCCATGTACAGCCATTGCCAGCATGGGCTTGGAGTGACCCCACCTCCCCTACCCTCTGTTCAGAGCGAGCTGGAGCGTGACAGGCGTGGGCTCCTGCTGGCTGGGTCCTCTTCCTGCTGGTTCTGCCGGCAGGACCCACCCAGAGCCCGGGGACTTTTTCAGGAATATTGCATTTTCTCTTTACTTCTGGGAGGAATGTCCCCTCCCACAGCCGGCCTGACCGCTTCCTGCAGGGCGGTGTGTGCACCTCTCTGAAGCTCACTCTTGAAAAGACACGTGCAGAGGGGTTTCTCCAGGGTGTTGCCCTTAATGGCGACACCTGTGTTTTGTGACAAGTGCTGTTTCCTTCAACGCTGTTCACAAGCAACTGTGCTAGAATCCCAAGCTGGTTTGTACTGAATTTGTGTATGGACACATACATAACATGCATGGCTACATATACTGCTTATAAAATCATGGCTCCTGACCACTGGCTATTCTCACTTGGTTACATGTCCATGTGACTAGGACGCTGCAGGCGGCTCGTCTTTGGGATGGGTTGTTTCGGGGACAAGGTGTCCCCAAATCCCCTTTACTAACTCTCTTGGTAGCAGATGTTTTGAATTCTGTCTAGTGGCATACAGCTAGTGTTGTGTTTATTTCTATAACTGGCCAGGGCGAAGTGTGAACTTCTCTCTGAAACGTGAAGAAATAAGCACTCGCAGCCCCAGCCGTACAGAGGGGTCCCTCAGCACACTGGGGGCAGGTGACGGCGGCAGGCACAGCCCGGCCTCAGCGGAGAGGCCCAGATTTGCTGAGACCCCTCCAACACTTGTGTCATCATAGTATTAATAATAGTTCCCTGGTGCACACTGGGCCCCTCCGACCCTCACCACAATCTGATAAAGATATGTAAGTATTGTCCCCATTTTACAGATGAGGAAACTGAGGCCCTGGGAGGGCCAGAAACACCTGTGCAAACTCTCCCACTAGTTAATGGCGAGGCTGGGGATTCCAGCCCTAGTTGGAGGTCAAACCTAAGTCCTTGTCACTGAACCCTGCCTGCCCAGACCCGCCAGACAGAGCCCAAGCCCGTGGGAACTGGGTTCCCACAGCCCAGCCGGCACCCTGAGCTTGTGGTGGGGAGATGGGGAGAGGAAGGAACAGTGGGGGCCGTTCGCATGTGTTACTCGATCGCACATGCCCTTTGTGGCAGGCCAGCGTCCCCATTTACAGATGAGCAATCAAGGCTCGGGTACAAAAGTCACTTGCAGACAATCCCGCAGCTAAGAAGTAGCCCAGAAAGGAGTCGCCCCAAATCTAATGCACCCCACCCACTCTGAGTTGAGAGGGGCAAAAAATTCTAAGAAAAAGGAAAGAGCCCAGAACAGATTTATTTTTTCCTTAGATAAATTTTATACAGAATATATTACAGTTAGGAGTTCTCAGCTTTCACCGAAAGGTCAGAAGTTATTGCAGTTGTGCCCAGTGGATATGATGTTAGAAGGGAAACTTCTAGAAAGCTGCCTGTGTTGAGAGTAGGAATAATCAATGTTTAAAGTTGTGGGGGTCCACCCTGCAGAGGGGGTCCCAGGGCAGGGTCAAGAGCAGGAGGACAGGAGCGTGGGGGTAGCAGGGTGGCCTGGGCTTGGGCGGGCTGTAGGCCACCTCCCTACTGGAGGCAGCGCTTGGGCCGTGTGGCCAGGGCCTGCAGTGGGGACAGCAGGGCCAGGACTGCAGGGCGCCTGGGGCCCCTCAGCCCCGCCGCAGCGCCTGCAGCTCTCGGGCCACCTTCTCCAGCTCCGCCTCAATGGCCGACAGGCTCTCCAGCTCCTGGTCCTAGGAGAGAACATCTGGGTCACTCGGGGCCAGCACAGGGAGCCCCAGGAGCTGACTTGTGCCAGCAGCGTGGAGGTTACAGTCAGCCAGACGGCTGGGCTATCGGGTGGCTGGTGTGGCCTCGGACAGGAGGCTTTGCCCCCCTGAGCCTCAGGGACCCCAGTCATATGGGGATGATGACACCGCCCTGCTGGGCTGTCTCAGGATTATTTTGCACAAGAAGGTGGTTGATGCAGGGGGCCCTGTCCCCACACTGTCGCTGGTGGCCTCTTTTCCAGGCCCCACTTTCCACAGGTGGGAGTCTGTCCCGTCAGGACACATGGAACACGAAGCTCCCGCCCCAGCCTGGATCTGGGTGGCGGCTCCCAGGCTGAGGCCAGGCCTGGGTTCCGGGTCTGTCTGCGGCAGCTCCCCGCCCGAGGGGACCGCGGGGCCTGTGGCAGGGCTGGATGCTATGAGCGCTGCCCCGCGTCGGCCTGCCTAGGCCTGGGTCTAATCCTTGGTCCTGATCGTGGGGGAACCCCAGGCTCCGGCTGCCAGGCTGGGTCAGGGAAGCAAGGGACCCTCCTCTGAGCCCTGCTCTGTGCCCCAGTCTCCAGAAGCTTCCAGGCCCCCTGGAGCTCGGACACCCACGAGAGCATACCCTCAGACTCGAAGCCGGAGCTCAGGGAAGGCTGCCTCCATGGCCTTGACCCAGGAAGGGTCGTCTTCCTGGGGCCCCTGCTGGATCTGAGGCTGCTAAGGACATGCCAGCCCGTGGACGCAGACACTGACGATGGATGGCCATGGAAACGGGGACTGTAGCCCTGCACCGAGGAGCAGCCCCTGGGGCACGAGTTCCATGGTGCTGGGGCTGCTAAGGAAGCCCTGGGGCTGGGTGGAGGAGGCCCCCACCCACCCTGTGCACATGGCTCTGAGGTCCCCATTTCTGCCCCCTGCCGTCTGGGGCTTCCTCTGCTTGTGGAACGGGGAAACCAGCAGGTGCCTTTGGCACCTCATTCTCTCCAGCTTCTGGGGGCAGGGACAGGAGCTCAAGGGTGCGCACCTTGTCCCGGGTCCCGAGGCGGGGGATGGGGGCGAGCTGCTGTTTCCGTGGCCCCTTCCCCTCAGTCTTCCGGGGACTTGGGCAGATGCCCTCTCCCGCTCCAGCTGCCAAGAAGGAGCCCTCTTCCTCTCAGACTGCCAAGCCCAGAAAGAGGGTTGGGGGCCCAAAGAAGGGGCCATATCCTCTTTTGGGTGGGCAGAGAAGAGCCTTGGGGTCACGGCTGTGGACAGGTGTCCGTCCCCCATAGAGCCCCCGTTCACACCTGGGCCCTGAGGCTTGAGCCAGGTACCCCCAGCTTCAAGGTGGTGGTGCCACCTGCCAGGAGCCCAACTCCCACCCACCCCTCCTGCCTCCCTGCACCCCTCAGCTTCCCGAGTGGCCCTGGGTGTGGCCGGGGTTTCAAAGCTCGTGCGTGTTCTAATCATGACAACGAGGAGGGCAGAAAGGACTCCTGGCTCCTATTTCATAAGTGGGGGAACTGGTGAGGCTCAGAGGAGGGAAGTGACCCGCACGAGGTCACACAGGTAGGAGGACGCAGAGCCCAGGTCTGGCTCATGTCCCAGCTTCTCCCACCTACTCCCCAAAGCTCTGGGGTCCAGCTGCCCCCCTCCCCCTTTGCCACCTGGGCTGGATGCAGGGCCTGAACCTGGGAGGAAGGCGTGCCTGGGGGCTGGGAGAGGACGCGGCCATGACCTGTCCCTTAGTGTCTCCTCCCACCCCCCCATGCCCACCCAGGCCAGTCCTACCAGGGCATTCGTTTCCCAGCTCTCTGCACCCAAGGCACCCGGCTCCACCCATTACTCCCATGTCCTGCTCACGAACCTGCAGAGGCTCCTGCTGCCTTCGGGACCACCCGCCACCCCTCCCGCTACCACAGGTCGCTCCGAACGCCTCCTGTCTCCCTGCCGGCTTTGCCGGGTGCCCGCTGTGAGCGGGGTGCTTTCTCCTGCCCGGACAGCCCCTGTCTGAGCACCTCTCCAGTCCCAGACTCCAAGGGGCAGAGCTGCACGGCTGCGTGCAGCCGCCCCCCAGCGGGGCCCACGCTCCCGGGGCCAGGCCCAGGGCCGGCGCCTGCCCGCTACCAACCTCTGGTCTGCGGTTGGCGCTGCCTTCCTCCTCTTTCTTCTCCTCGGGGTAGCCGTGGACCTGGAGGGGCAGGCCCGCCTCGACACTGTCCTCCCGGGAGGATGGCCTCCAGCCTCGTCGCAGCTGCGGCCCAGGGCCCCTGAAGCCGTAGCCCCGGGCCTGCGAGGAGAGCTTCATGGAGCGGTCAGGGCTGTCCTCCTCCTCCTCCCGCTCCAGCCGCTTCTCGGCCGTCAGCTCCTTGGCCAGCTGGTCCATCTTGCTCCAGCGCTTGGCGTCCTCCCACTGCTTGGAGAGCCGCTCCTCCTGCTCCCGCTCCAGCTGCCCGCTCTTCCCGCCCCGGAAGAGGCCTCGAGGGGCCCCTGCCATCTCCTCTTCCTCCTCCTCCTCCTCCTGCTGCCGGGAGTGCTCCTGCTCTCCCTTCCCCCGCAGCGGCCGAGCCTCCTCAGCCCCGGGCTTCCTGGCTGCGTCCACGGCCAGAGCCTCCGACCGACCTGGAGCAGGTGGCGGACAAGAGCAGAATGAGGAAGGGACCGCCATTTTCCCCGGTCTCTGCCACTCCCCGGGGGCCTCTGTTGTGGCCACCTTTAGGGCCACAGACCCCAGCTCTTGGAGCCCAGCCCAGCGCTCCACAGCGATTCTGCTTGGAGGGAAGAGCCATCTTGGTGCCAGGCTTTGCAAGACCCTCTCAAAGCTCAAAGGGGTGGGTTGACCAGAGCCCACCTCTTCCTCTAGCCCCTCACCCCAGAAGCCCCTGACCTGGCCCAGGAACTGAGGGAAGACGCTGACAAGGCCTTCGCGAGGAGCCAGGGTCTCTCCTAAGCCCTAGCTGAAGCTGACACTGTCCCCAGATCAGCCTTTGCCCACCTGTCACGCTGTCTCTGTTCCCAAAGCCCGCCCACCTACCCACACTGCAATGCCCCACTCGCCTCCTGGGTGGAATAGTGGGAAATGCATGGTTTGGGAGTCAGATAAACCTGGGCTGGAACCTCGGCTTTTACTATAAATTAGCTGTGTGACCTTGGGCAAATTACTTAACCTCTCCGAGCCTCAGTTGTCTATCTATTAAATGGAGATAATATCCGCCTTTCAGGGTTACTATTAAGGTAGAATGAGATTATGGATAAAGTCCCCCTCCCGCTGTCCCCCTCTCCCAGACGCGTTTGTTGACAGTCGTCATACGTACTCTCGCCTCTCTGGACCTCCCTGTGGCCGAGGAATGGGCTGAGTGCTGTAGTGGGGCCTTCCATGACCTGGAGAGGAGTGACAGGCTCCTCCCCTGCCTCTGCCTCCTTCTCCTCCTCTTCCTCTTCCTCTCGCTTTGCCTGGTGCCCGCGCTCTGCACTCAGGCCCTTCTCTCTGTCCGCCAGGCCCTGAGAGGGACCTGCCCTGTCTCCCTCCGCCTGCAGGCCTGGGTCTTTCTGGCTGTGGGGACTGGCTGGGGGCTGGGTGTTGGTGGCCTCCTCATCCCCAGGGGCCTGGCTGTTCCCCTCCATCTTGGACTCCTTCCTGGGCTCGGGGAGGGCCTGGGGCCTGGCTTCCTCCGTGTCTTCACTGCTCTTCTCGGCCTCTTCAGAACCCTCTCTTTTCTCCGCAGCCTCCTTGGAGGATGCCTCCTCCATCACCTCTGCAGAAACAGCAGAGCAAAGTCAGGCCCTGAGGACCAGGCTACACGCGGGTCTCCCCAGAGGCCAGTTTCAGATCTTAGGCACCGTATCTCCTGGCTCCCAGCAAACCCAGCCCCAAACAATTAGGGGAACCCCCACCCATCTCTAGGCTTGATTTGAGCACAACTGGATTGTGTTTCTTTCTTTTTAATTCTGCCTCTTAAAACAGATTGTGATTTTAAACACACACACACACACACACACACACCCCACAAAAATAACCAAACCTTGAAAATTACCCCAGAAGCTAGAACCCTGAACTGAAAATTAGGACATCAGCTGAGCTGCTGTGTGATCTTGAGCAAGTCGCTTAACCTCTCTGTGTAAGAGGCACCATTACTGCAACTTCATTCTCCCCCATGTGGGGCTTCTCTGTGTCCTGTGAAAGTGTTTGATTCCTTAATAGTCATAGGATTTCATTAAAAGGTATTTTCTTGTGGCTGCCTTGAACACGGCCTTATAACCAGGAGACATCCCTCCCACCGCTGGAATGATTACCGCTGAACAAAGCACTACCAAGTATGTTCCGCCATTGCTCCCATGCCCATTTCACAGAAACTCAGTAAACTGATCTGCAGAAAGGTAAGGTGACCTGTCCATGCTCATACAGTCTGTAGGCAGCAGGGCTGAGCCTTGAATCCAAGCCCCCCGACACCAAGTTCAGGGTCTCTTTGCACTGACACGGCTGCCTCCCCCATTAAAGCTTCCAGACCCATGCACGCGTGCGCGCGCACACGCACACGCGCACGCGCGCACACACACACACACACACACACATACACAAGTGCTATGCTATCCCCCACTGAAGCCCATGGCAGGCATCGGTAATCAATCCAGATCGTTCCCATGGAGCTCTGCTGTGGGAGCCCACGCAGTACCCCGAGCAGCCACGAGGGGACAGCTGGGCCACACCCGCAGGCTTTCCCTCCTAGCCCCAGACGGAAGACCACCAGGATCCGGCTCCTGGACACTGGCCTAACTGCCCACTTTCAACATGGAGAGAGCAGGCACCACGAGGGCAGTCTGGGGCCCTTCCCAGGCGGGGAAGATGGATGCAGAGCATCGCGTGGCCCCAGGCATGACCTCTGACCCCCAGATCCTCTTTGGTTTCCAGAAAGATGATCCAGGTTGATTTAGTGTTTCATACCCACCCCTCCGGATCCTCCCGCAACGTGGCTAGATTTTCAGGCACCACGGGACGCCAGGAGTGACGCGCTGGTGGCAGGGGCTCTGCCGCAGTGGCCACTGGGTAGACCCAGAGTTGGAGCCGCCCACCTGCCAGGCCAGAGACTTCCTGCCCGAGAGTGTCAGGTGCTGTGCTGGGCAGAGGGGACTGACCCAGGGCTTTCGAGTAAGACAGGTCCAGATTCAAGTCTCTAGTCATGCTGCCTCAGTTTCCCCATTTGTAAAGGGAGGAAATAACAGCTACTTACCAGGGCTTACAGGAGGGGCCCCTGACTCTCAGGAACCCTCGATCCGTCATAACTACTGTCCTCACCGTGGTCCTCCCTCCCCAGCCTCTGGCCAGACCAGCTGGCACTGACCTTTCAGCTCAGCCTGGGTGCTCTGGTTCTCAAGCACCTCCGAGAGTTCGTCCTCAAAACTGCTGTGTTTCTTCTGCTGCTGCGCCCTCTCCTTGGCACCTGGGATGGGGACAGGAGGGAGAAGTCCCATTTGGCCCAGCCCTGGCACATCTGTCTGTGAAGGCAAAGGTCTCCAGTTCTCCCTCTGTAAATGGGGCGCGTCGTGTTCCGAGCCTGCCCAATGAGGTGCTGAGGGGCACGAGCCTGGGGAGTGGGGAAGGGCTGACACTCCTGCTCCCTCTCAGCTGGGGCCCATCAGGCAGCCACGCCACCTCTCCTGACTCAGTTTCTCACCTGGGAAATGAGCACAAGCCCTGCCTGTTGCCTCACAGAGCAGTAAAGGCTCAAATGGAACAGGGGGTCCTGGGGCAGGAGTGGGGAGTGGGGAACCCCCAGGACATGGCTGGCAGTTCAGGGGGCCCTGCAGCAAGAGGTAACAATGACTGCTTGTCCCCTCATGGGGGTCTTCATTCAAGCAACCCCTGCTGCCCTTGGACCCTATGAGTCCAGGCCCTGGGGAGAAGGCCGAGCCCTGGGCCTGCAGCTGTGCCCGCGGTTGGCACCTGCTGCCATGACCCAGAGCCCCTCTCCCTGCACCCCCACCCCACCTGCCTCTGACAGTTCCCACACCTGTGCCCAGGTCCTGATGCCGGCCCTCAGCCGGGCCAACTCCGCAGCTGGTCCCCATTTTTCCCCGTGTTGGGGTTTCTGGGGTGGCTGCGGGCCAGGGAGCATGCCCAGCTCTGGCCCCAGACAGATGTGGGTTCCAGTCCTCTCCTGTTATTTCCCAGCTCTGTGACCTTGGGCAGCTCGAGCTTTCCAAGCTCTGGTTGTTCATTTCTAAAACAGGGTTGCTGCACGGCGAGTGCTTAGGTAGAGGTATACACAAGATGTTATGGGAGCCCAGGAGGGAGTGGATGGGTAGACAGATGGACAAAAACACAGCCGGGACTCTTTAAATAGAAAGCGACAATATACA